CGGGAGCAGGCAGCTGCCCGCCGAGCTGCTCTCCCAGCAGTGGGCTGTGGGCATGAGCCTGCTGATGGCCCTGGTGGTGCTGCTCATCGTGGCCGGTAACGTGCTGGTGATCGCGGCCATCGGGCGCACGCAGCGGCTGCAGACCCTCACCAACCTCTTCATCACCTCGCTGGCCTGCGCGGACCTGGTGATGGGGCTGCTGGTGGTGCCCTTCGGGGCCACGCTGGTGGTGCGGGGCACCTGGGTCTGGGGATCCTTCCTCTGCGAGTGCTGGACCTCCCTGGACGTGCTCTGCGTGACGGCCAGCATCGAGACCTTGTGCGTCATCGCCATTGACCGCTACCTGGCCATCACCTCGCCTTTCCGCTACCAGAGCCTCATGACCAAGGGTCGGGCCAAGGGCATCATCTGCACCGTCTGGGCCATCTCTGCCCTGGTCTCCTTCTTGCCCATCATGATGCATTGGTGGCGGGACGAGGACCCCCAGGCATTGGAGTGCTACCAGGACCCAGGCTGCTGCGACTTTGTCACCAACAGGGCTTACGCCATTGCCTCGTCCATCATTTCTTTCTACATCCCCCTCCTCATCATGATCTTTGTGTACCTCCGGGTGTACAGAGAGGCCAAGGAGCAGATCAGGAAGATCGATAGGTGCGAGGGCCGGTTCTATGGCAGCCACGAGCAGCCGCAGCCCCCCCCACCCCCTCACCACCAGCCCATCCTCGGCAACGGCCGAGCCAGCAAGCGGAAGACGTCCCGCATCATGGCCATGAAGGAGCAGAAAGCCCTCAAGACTTTGGGCATCATTATGGGGGTGTTCACCCTCTGCTGGCTCCCTTTCTTCCTGGTGAACATTGTCAACGTCTTCAACAGGGACCTGGTGCCGGACTGGCTCTTCGTTTTCTTCAACTGGCTGGGCTACGCCAACTCCGCTTTCAACCCCATCATCTACTGCCGCAGCCCTGACTTTCGTAAGGCCTTCAAGAGGCTGCTCTGCTGCCCATGGAAAGCTGACCGGCGGCTGCACGCCAGCGGCGGGGAGCTGGCCCAGCTGCCCGGGGGCTTCATCAGCACCGTGGGCTCCCCTGAGCGCAGCCTGGGAGGGACCTGGTCCGACTGCAACGGGGGCACGCAGGGTGGCAGCGAGTCCAGCCTGGAGGAAAGAAATAGCAAAACGTCCGATTCGGAGTCCAAGGTATAAGGAGGGGGGGCGTGGTGGGCCGCGTTGGACCCGGGGCAGGGGGAAAGGCAGGCAGGGAGACACACAGGAGCAGACAAGTCCCCGGCAGCTGCCTGGTGGTAAGGCTAACGCCAAGCAAACCTGATCCCTGTCTTAGCGGGGAGAGAGCGGGTGTTTACTTAGGAATAAAAGCAGGTGAATTCACGTACGACATACCTCATTCAAAACTACAGCAAACAGGAAACCCACTGACCGGAGAACAAAGAAAATAAACAGCCCGTCCCAAAGATAGCCAGCTTATATTTAGGAGGAGCGCTTTTGGAAGGGGCTGCAGCAGCGCCCTTTGCTCGGGTGAGTTGTCCCAGGACTGTGCTGGTGGTTGAACCTGAGCGTGGAGGTGCTGGTGTTTGGCCGCCAAGTTCGGCTGCAGCCGGGGTCCCAGCTGTCCCCCGCCTCACCTGCGGCTGTCGGACCCCCCGGGTTTCATTCCCTCACGCAGAGCACCAGGTGGTTTTTGGGGAGGCACAGGGTCGGTGCTGCAGGTGCTGCAGGCAGAGAGTACAGACCCACGGGCAAGATGAGTTTTAAGCTCGGAGTAGCTGTGCTCCCCTCTTCCGCAGAGTAGTGATGGAGGAAAAAAAGGAGTAATGAGGAGCACAGGTATATTTTGAAAGGGAAAAAAACCCCAACCCACACTCTTGTGCTTTTTCCCTCTGCATCAGCAGGCAGTGAGTTATTGTGCTTATCTCTTTCGGCCAGACAATAGCAGTCAGGCTGAGAAACTTCTACCTCAAACTGTGCATATTGTACAGGGGAATAAACGGACCGTGTTTATATTAAACAGCGTATTTACATACCACTAATAGTATTTTATGAAAAGGGGGGGGGGGGGGGTGAGGAGCCTTCTGCAGCTTGTTCATTGTATTTACAGATGAACGGGGGGGGGGAAAATATCCCGGCAACAACAAAAATTTACTGCACATTTTTTTTAAAAATGGCGACAAAGCCATTTTTTGCAGTGTTAAGAGTTGTAAAGTTATTTGAAGATGTTACTTGCACACACGTACACACACGCAAATTAAAAATGAAACGGAGGTTTGAATAACACCGACCCTGAACCTGATCTCTGGTTTTGTCTGATTTGTTATAGTTTTATTGAGAGAGTGACTTTTTTTATATTATTTTATGAAGGTACTGTAAATATATCCGTATTTTAAATTAAAATATCTTAAGAGACTTTATTAATTTTTATTTCCAAGTGCCCACGTGAATCTGCTGTTATTTTAGCACTTGTGTGTCATTTCCATTTTCTTCTCTGTGTGTGTTTTATAACATATTTATACTCTGGTGCAATTCACTACTGTGTAAGTAATTGGTCTATGTGCAATAAATACCGTTGCAGCACAAGCAAGTGTGTCTCTATAGGTTTTGAAACAATACCTACCTATAATGGGAAGAACAGCATTTGTTTTTCTCCAAAGATGGCTCAGATTACCAATACAACTCTATCTAATGGCTTTTCCTGACACAGTATTGTAAAAATGTGTTTGAAACCCAATAAGGTTGTGTTCCTGTTGCACCGAGATCTGCTGACTTCCCTTAAAATTAATTGTTGAAGACAAGGTGTTTCCAGTCTGATAATGAATACATTCATTTTCTGTAACTATTCCTTTCTGGAATATATTCTTTTTGTTTTGTTTTGTTAGGAGTACACATCTGGGAGTCAGGAGACCAGAATATTTAAGATTACAAAGGATGCTTAATTTGAAAGCTAAAAATGGTCTCGCGTAGAAAGAAATCTCCTTATGCGGTACACGCCACCCCACAAGTAAGTCCACCTCATGCCGACAGTGGGCCTGATCCTGCCTGAGTGAGGTGGGTGGTGTGTGCTCGGCGGGACCAGGTCCAGGTGCTGAGTGTGGAGCTCGGGGGAGACCCCTGCCCGAAAAACAGCCGGAGGAGGCTCATGCCCTGTAAGGGGAGATGGCAGCTGGGAAGCTGGTCAGAGGAGTCCAGACTTTGGTTCCCTCTTACTGTATAAAAGGAGTTAACCTCTGAGGGAATGGCTGGGACGTTACTGGAGCAGGATTGAACTCTGGGACAGACTTAAACACTGCTGAAATCAGGGGAAATCTGTTCTGTTGTCACTGGGTGAAATAAAACTACCTAGTTTGTAGACCATAAAGCTAATGGTCATGTGCAGTGTGGCTTACTTTGCAGCAGTCTGCTGCCGATAGTCACATACTCCCTGGGGGCCAGATTATGATAACTGCATGTTGTATTGTGGACTGATCCAAGTAAGGAGGTTCTGTGAACAGAAGGGCTGCAGATTTGGGCCCTTGGTCCAAAAGATTGTCATCCTTTATTGCTTTATGAAGGCACGCTGTATCCTTGCGGTTTCATAAAGTTTTTCATTACTGCAATGAATACATGGCAGATAGAGCAACAAAAAGACAGTGCAGCATAAAAGTGAAGCCATTTTTAGCTTTATTAAACTCAGAAGTATAGTCAAATTAGAAATCAGCTCGCAGGAAGAGCACTTCCCAAAGTGAGTTCTTTAGGGTGGTGGCCAATGGGGTCTTTTTGAAACCATTTGTTCATTTTTTTTGTTTTAAAAGTTAAGGCATTTGTCCTTTGCAATCTCTAATGATGTATTTTCAGGGGGAAAAAAAAAAAAGTTATACTTTTTATACATGGACAAAATAAAGGGACCAGGGAAGTAAATAATACTTTTCCATTGATATTACTGGGGTTCGATGTGAGCTGCCCTTAATGGTGTCTCCCTTGATAATAGTGAAATGGGCTCCTTAAGATGCCAGGGTGATGTCAGATCAGGTGCTAAGTGAAGTAGGCTCTGCCACTGAACTATTTTTTTTTTTAAATCTGGTTTTGTCTGTGATTCCAGCAAAGGCAACAGGACCAAAAGGGTGCATGGGACGGCAACATCTGACACTGGCGACTGTGGCGAGGTGTTGGCTGCACATGTCAGGGTCAGGACGGGATGGGGAGGCAGTGCTGCCGTCCTCCTCCTGCACGCTGGGGATCGCAGCGGGTGAGGGCAGGACCAGGTCCCTGCCTGCTAGGTAGGGCAGGGCAGGATCCGGCCCCGGCGCCTGGATGGGAGCTGAAGCGGCTGTTGAGCACTTTGTCGTCAGCAAGGTGCTGGATCCTGGAGAAGAGCAGTGCCTGCCTACTGCATGGGCATTGTGCGGGTGGGACAGTCTGATGGACTTGGGTCTTTGTCTCATAAATCAGTTCACATACTTAATTTTAACCATCCGAACACTCGTGTCCTTAGACTTCAAAAAGTGATTAAAGTTTTGGCTCAACAGGGTCCTTAGGTGAGAAATTTATGGCCAGAACTTGCTTGGCTTCTCCTGCTGAATAGCTGCGCTGGGTCATGCTTCCCCTGGACAAGTGTAATGGCATGAAGAAGGTGAAAGGTAGGATGAGTTTTGCCCATTGGCCTCAGTAGGGCCAGCTGTGTGAGCAAAGTGGTCAGGATTTGCCTGCTGTTGAGTTTTGGCCAGTCGATGACCTGCTGGAAGAGTCTGGCGGCCGGCACATTGAGTCCTTTCGTAGACAGCTAAGATAATCCACCTGGCAGCATGGATGGCGGATAAAAAGACAGTGGCACAGCTACGGTGCGGACAGAGCAGGACATATGGCACACACGTGTGCGAGGAAGGAGAGGCTGCTGGCGAGCAGTCTGCCGTGGATCACGCTCAGAACAGGCTGTTCTCCACAGAGAAGAAGGATACTCTGAAAAGTGTTACGGGGCAGCTGAAATACTCCGGAGGCAATGAGTCAAACACTCACGATGAATATTTTTTTCTGACGAAAACCAGACATGGATTAGCAATTGGAGCTGCAAGTCAGAAAGTATAGGTGGCAGGCATGCAGCTCCACATGTACGTGGGCAGGAAAGTAACAGCAAAGAGCCGCAGGCCTGCAGGAAAGGGAGACACAGGTAAAACAGAAATCCACTCGGAGAAAATTATTTGGTGAGGGTGCCTGAGATTTCCATGTGCAAGACGCCCGATTCTCAAAGGCGCCAGCCGCACTCTAAGCAGTGTTTGCTCAGCACTTCTGAAAAGCAGGCTGCATCTCTCCATGTGCTTAGATGGGAATATATCGTGTGGAAAGCCTGGCTTCAGTTTTCCGTGTGTTCGGAAAGTTGAGGATGTTTCAGACATACAGCAGGCTATCGAAGTGCCTGCAGAAGTACCTCCCCACCGGTGAGAGCTACACAAAAGCAGTCCTGAAAATTCACTGCACTTTCAGACCACGACCTTCGGCATCAACTGTCTGTAGCTCCAAGCAGTAACTGATGAACAAATTAAACTGTGCAAAAAAGGTGGCTTAAAATTGTGATCTGAACCATGCCCACGGCACACGCAGCGTTTGACAGCATCAGCCGTGTGTTTGTGATACAGCACGCACCATTTCTTCTGCAAACGCTGCTTTCCCTTTTGGGTATGCACGTGTTTTCAAGTATAAGGACAACTTCTTTATCAGCTTTTTTTTCCCCTAAACCCTATCTGCAGTTGATATTTTATTAATAACTTTTAAGTGGCTATTTTGCAAACCTTCCTTGTGCTGCAGACTTTCCTAATTTATTGTAATTTCCCGTCCGGTGGAGTGCACTTACTTCCTTTATGTAATATATCAGCTGCAGGGCTGGAAATTGTGCAGCTATGAACTTGAAGAGCAGACTTTCTTGAGGCCAAATGCGGTCAGGCATCATTGCCACTGGGAGCAGAATTTGACCTGATAATCTAATCTTATACGAGAGAGTATCTCCAGAAAAGTATTGTTACCAGCAGTAAATGACCTCTGCTGATGAAGCTGGAGCAATTAGTCCTGTTCAAAGCTGTCAAGAAAATGTTAACTGCTAAACAACAGTTAATGTTGGATAGCTCAAATAATGAGTGTTTTGTTTGCTGGTGTGTGTTATGTGATGTGTTGGGAAATAATTATCCTTTGACTAACAGCCAGCTTTGTACTAATCAGAACGGAGAAGTCATGTTCTGTTTGAAGGATTATACCTAAAAATAGTTCTGTTACTGCCACATCAACGAGTGAAATGAAGCAAATTCACGGAGATGTACACACCTTCTTAACATTTCACTTTTTGTCCTAAAAACTCATTGTTCAGCTGGAACTTTCTGTTTGATCATGTCAAATGCACTAATATGATCTCCTGCAATAGCACTAAGCACACTCCTCCCGAGCAGCATTAACCTATGCACCACTGACTTGCTTTCAGAGCCTGCCAAATTCCCGATCGCCCCAGGAGGAAGTAAGGAGTTTTTATATAAACAACCGCATATAACGTAAGATCAACAATATTTGTGATAATCGTCCCGCGGAAGAAGTTGATACGCTTTTTATGTGAGATGTTTGTATGCTTGCCCATCCACAAGGAGCAGCCGTAGTAACAGCAGGTGCAATTCAGTAACTTCAGGCTGTCAAACTGTGCTCAAAAAAGTGACCAAGATGGGAAAGGGATAAAAAAGGTGATGTTGGCAAGCAAACGCAATGTTGTCATTGCAAATGGCAAAAACCAGGGCATCTTTTGCTAATGCTACAGGTGTTGCCTTTTACTGGGAAAGTCTAACTGGTTTGGATAAGGATGTATCAGGCAGATGCACTATAGAAACGCAGGTTAAGAAGCGTGAGAGGTAAGACATTTTCCATACAGGACCGTGCCAGCAATGGGCTGGCAGCTGAAACATGCCCCAAACATCCCTAAAACTCTTTCTTACTCTTTTGGGATAACAGCAGCAGACTAAAGCACATCTGCGCAGCTTCTCAGCCGATGTAAAGCTGTACAGCTCCCTGGCCATCCATGGCTCCTGGGAAATGCGCCTCCCTCCTGGCATCTCCCCTTCCCCTCTGAGGGGCTCCAGCTTACGCCAAGTTTTGCAGGACCTGGAGCCTTGCCCCAGCCCAGAGCTGTTGTCCTCTCACTTGGTGCCCTAACAGGAGGTGTCCCGTGGCACCCCGGGGGTGGCACCGCTGCGGGGTGGATGTGTGGGTGCTGCAGGGTGTGCCCGCGCTGCCCCGGCTGTGCCAGGCGTGCTGGTGCAAGCTGCCGGCCGCGCCGCTCCCCTGAGTCATCGCTCCGTCCTGCAAACACCAGCGACAGAATTGGGCTCGCCAAGCTGGAAATGGAAGTGGTTCTGTATGTTGTGTAAACTAGTGATCAGCTTCCTGGTTCACAAAAACGGGCAGCTTGGTACGCACGTTTGCTTCGCAAACTGCCATTTTGTCTTCCCACCCGCTCGGCTCCTGGGTTTTTCGTGGCAGCGTTTGCTTGCTCTGTCTTAGTACCCAGCAGCACAAGTTTTTCGGCTGTGCCCCAGCAGCAGTCTGCATCCAGACGTGAACGGTACCAGACG